CCCCTTGCCCCTTTCACCCTGGCCTCGGTGCCTGGGGGTTTTCGGAACAGGAAGAGGGCCCCCCCTTGGGGGGTTTTGTTTTAAGGATAAGAGGGGGGGTCCAGGTTTTTGCTCACCCACGGCACCGGGCCGGTGCTTGCACTTTGAATGCCGTGGGGCTCCTGCCCGTGTCCGGGCGTGGAGATGCGAGGGTCGCCCCCCCTTGCCCCACCACTTTGTGTGTGTGGAGACGTTTACCTTACCTTACCTTACCTCTCCGCCCAGTCCGGGGGTGCGTCGAACCTTCCATCACCCTGTCGGAAGCGGCGTGCCGGTGGAGGCACGTCCGGGTTTTGGAAGTAAAGATATATTACTTTTTACAGATATCTCGTGGAGACGGTATAGAGACACGGACGGCGCGGTCCACGGCGCGCACCACGGGCGAGCGCGAACATGACTCTGTCGTGTGTCGCTCAAGCTCTCCCGAGACCCGCGCCCTCAGGACAGCCCCGGGCAAAGCCGCTCGCGCAGCCCCCCCCGCCCCGCCCCCCCCACAATAAGACCCGGAGACCAGCCCCACTATCGAAACCGCGAAGTCCGTCGCACGGCGGGAGAGCATCACGCGGCGCGCGCGCCGGCGCTCGCTCGCGCCGCGGTGTTTGCCAGCGAAGGCGAGGCACTGAGCGGCCACCGGCCGAGAGCGCCCGCGCGGGCCACTATGCATCCGCCGTTCCACGAAGCACGCGGGAGGGGGGAGGGGCAGAGCGAGGATGGAGCAAGGTTGCGAGTCTCTCTAAGAACGGCGTCCGCTCACATCAGCACGCACTTGTCCTTGCGCCGTGTCGGCTTGTACTCCAGCACATACTTGAGCTGCACCTTGTTAATCGCGCCGCGCCGTCTCTTCCTGATGAAATCGACGGCGTCGCCTGCATCCACCCCCGCCTGCCGCGCGTGGGGGCGCTCGCGGTTGGAGGAGGCCCGGTCGCGAGGGACGGGCGCGCGGGCGGAGGGAGGAGGGCGACAACGGCAGCGGCGGTGCGCGGGAGGGAGGCGCGCTGGCGGCGGCTGGAGGCGGGCGCACCGTGAGAGGCGGCGCCTCGATAAGCGCAATCGCAACCAGCAGCGGCGCGCGCCTGCAGCGCAACAAGC